CACACACACACACACCTTCTCGCAGTTGTTTCTGGCACAGTCGCTGAAAGGCTGCAACCTCATTATCCTCATATACTAAATTTCGGACTGAGACTAACAAAAGTACTAATCTCGAAGCAATCTATAGATTATAACACCATCCATCAGCACCTCCAGCTGATCCAAACTAAAGAGAGAAAAGAGGGGATGGAAGGAGGCAGAGGAGAAAACTGACCTGTACAACCGGCGAGCGATTTGCGCTTTCCTCCCGTTCAAGTCCCTTCCGCACCATCATCGTCCCCAACTCTTACACGATAAAAACAAAACATTCAAAAATAAAAACAGACACACACAAAGAGAAAGATATGGAATGGGCCATTGATCCACTCGCTCTTCCACTACCCTCTCTACCTACTACTGCTATTGCTCTTCCCTCTCTCTCTCTCTCTCTCTCTCTCTCTCTCTCTCTCTCTCTCTCTCTCACACACACACACACACACACACACACAAACTACCTGCCTACATGCCTACCTATTCATGTCTCTCTGCTCCCGCACACGCACGCGCGTGCGTGCATACTCACACACACACACGCACTTGGCAAATGCCCGGCACGGGACGTGAAATGCATTCCTCTTGCCACCGCCATTGCTGGGATTGGCTGCTACTCGCCAGCGTCAGCCGGGCCCACTGAAATTCCCGTTTGTGCCTAGAAAGGCCACGCGAGAGGGCAAAGGGAAGTGCGGGACTGACAGAACGACGGTCACAAGGCGCGCACTTTCCGAACACCATTTTGCCAGCCTAGACTCCGAAGTCCGCCCATGTTTGCAAGCGCCTTCCAGAGGATTTTTTGTCGTTTCACGGAGGCTTCCTGTGTCGCATGTCAGCCGATTTTGTTTGTATATTTCACACGACACTGCTGTCTACCTTTACATTCGCACCTCCCGCGAGCAAAGATCCCGCCACGGCTAATGTGCAAAATGGGCGTTAAAAAAAAAAAAAAAAAAAAAAAAAAAAAAAAAAAAAAAAAAAAAAAAAAAAAAAAAAAAAAAAAAAAAAAAAGGGCCGTCGCTCCACAACTCTCTAAACTCTAAATGTGCAAAATGAGAATGAATAGTCCCCTAGAACATGGGAAAATGCGCCCTCATACGTTTGTCACGTTTGTCATATGTAAATGTGGAGAGTAGTGCAGCCAGGCCCTCGGGCCTGCTCTCTCACTCACAAGCGTGGTGCGGGGGCAAGGTCCCACTTGCACGGATTAAGAGATTCTGGCCGTCGATCTTTGCTATCTACGGTCAATGTCTCTTAATTCGTGCAAGTGGGACCTAGCCCCGGGTGAGCAGGCACATGCTGAATGTACATATTGCAGGCGTATGCTGCAGGCACATGCCGGAATGTGCATGCTGCAGGCGGACGCTGCAGGCACATCCTGCAGGCACATGATGTCGGAGACGGCCATTCTGGCGGGGTACACTTCAGCTTCGCCAGACCCGGGCGCTCGTGCCAGCATTGAGTTTCGTCAATGCCCGAATCTGGACCTATTTGTGGAGATGTGCAGAAATCGAGTTGAGTTTCCTCAGCGCGCACACCTCCACAAACACGTCCAGATTCGGGCGTTGAGGAAACTCAACGCTGCTAGTGGGATGAGGCCCCAGACGATCTCTTGGTCCGCGACTTCGCCCAGAATGAGCTTGGCAAGTTGGCGCGCAAATTCTTAAAAAAAAAAAAAAAAAAAAAGTTGGCGCGCAAAATCAAAAGTTTCTTCTTTTCTTTTTTTTTTCCCCTCTAACCACCCCCCCCCTTTTTTTTTTTTTTTTTTTTTCTCTAACCAGCTGCGTACGCGATGTCATGGAGATCCCAAAAAAAAAAAAAAAAAATGTCATGGAGCTCGTGGTACCCGAACCAATACCCATAGCACTTGGGCCGCGAGCCTTGGAAGGTAGCCTAATCACACTTAGGCTCGCTCGTCAGGCCATTGTTTGTCAGCGTCAGTTGGCTTAGGCTTTCTAATGGGCAGGCACCCGATGTGATAGGCTATTTCAAACCACTGCCACGCATTGAGGACCGTCATTGCCCCCTACTACGGCAGCAGGAAAATTCAGAGGAGTCCTTCGGGACATCCGTTAAAATTGGAACGATACAGAGAAGATTAGCATGGCCCCTGCGCAAGGATGACACGCATAAATCGAGAAATGGTCCAAAATTCAGAAGTTGCGCTGAGCAGGAGATGGGCCCAGTGCAAAAAAGCGAGGAGTGCAGGGCAGAAGGGCCGGTGGGAAAAGCGAGGAGTGCAGGGGAGAAGGGCCGGTGGGCCCACGGCTACAAGTTGCTCTGGCAGCTAAAAATATATCTTGCCCTTGGGAAGGCAAGGTGAAAGAGGGGGGGTAGGAGGGCAGGGGAGAAGGGCCGGTGGGATGGGCTGGGTACTGGGTCCTTGCATATGATTGATATACACCAGGTAGGCTGAGGGCTGGCCCACTGAGGGCTACATCCAGAAGCAGAGGGGTTGCACGTGATCAGAATCAGAAGGATTCCTCCAAGGCGAAACACATCGGCCACCAACCCCATGTGGCTGACGGTACACCCCTCGACTATGCATCCAGTGGGAGGTGGAATGGCCCCTCCCTGTTCTAAGGTAGAACTGCCGTTCAATGGCAGTTCTACCTCCGGTGTAGAACTGGTTCCGACGGTAGGGGGGGCAGGGGTTCAGGGGTCTGACCCCCTGGGGAGGTCGAGGGGGTACTTGGCTACCCCCCCAATCCACTTTTTTTTTTCACTTTTTCAATTAAAGAAAATCCAGGGGTATCTTAAAAGCGGCTGGACTAAAGTGAGCTATCCCCCGAAAGTCATCTGCTGCACTAAAGAGAATCAATGGCTATCACCTTGAATGGACACTTTTATCTGAGTTTCACTAACTACAACTTAGATTGCAGAAAGGATTCGATTTCAGACCATCATGTCTGCTTTTTTTTTTTTTTGAATGGGAACAAAAGCTCCAATCTATTCGTGGGGAGCAGCACGTGCTGGGAGCCGGGCCCAGCGTCCCATATGAAAATTTACATAGACGTTTGAAAGTTTGAGATACCGGGGCCATTACGCGGCTTTGGCTAAGCAAAAATTGAGCTACTTAGAAAATTAGAACGACAAACTTCAGAGATAGGCAAAGTTCAGAAACGACTCAGAAACCCCCCATCAATCCTCTGTACCTCACTCCGGCAAGACTTACTGCAGCAGAGCCACCATCTCCGCTGCTGCTGTACCCTATTTCCATCCTACGAGCTAGCCCCCTCACTAGTAGGACGCTTGATATCCAACCATCTACTTCTCCCAATCCCCTCTTTTTTGAGAAAAAAATAAGAAGACCTCCCCCAGCCAGCATTGATTGCCCCGGAAACCAGGGGATTTACTGAGCAGGGATGCCCTTTTTTTTGTGTGATGAAAGTTCCATGAAGACTATACTATAGTCAAAAAATCCTACTCCCAAATCCATGCAATCAGTCAGACGGGGAACGAACCACCCTTACCCCCTTTCCCTCTTCTGGCGCGATTTATAACAACAACAGCCCTTATACTGCTGCAGCACAACCCTAACACCACTGGCATCCTACTAGCTAGCCCTCCTCACCAGCAGGATGTGTGGACACCATCCGACTACCTCACCTTCTGACAGTCCATCCATCCCATTCACCCGCAAGAAAACCGAAACCCCTTGTTCAGTCCTCGTACCTGAAAACGGTTGATCTCAAACCCCCTTAGCTAGGGTTACAAGGACCCGCTACATCCCCGGTATCGACCAGCCTAATACAGACGGTAAGGAGTGCCTTCCACCCTCGACAACTCCCAAATAGTTGCACGCCCCTTTTGGTGACAGGGCTACAGCCCCAGCGACAGCTGCGTCGAACGAGATAATGCTCATCAGCCCAATCTCGCCCTCCTGATTTACTAGTAAGGACACAACCCTCTCCCGGATGACCCCCCACACAGCCTCTATTCCTATAGTTGTTTCAAACCCCATCAATTAAAAAAAACAGATTAGAACACACAAAAAAGAGAGCAGAAAAGTCCAAACTAACACCACCACCTTGCTACCTTCCCGCAACTGTTGAAGGAAACCACAAGCCTCGTACTCGGTCCTCGATCCTACACACAGCTAGTCTCATACCCTCCAATGCTAGGGTTACAGGGCACCACCATACCCTGGTACCGACCAACCTAGAATAGACGGTAAGGAGTACCTTTCTCCCTCGGCAACTCCCATTAGCCGTCCGCCCCTAAAAATGTGACCGGGATTAAACCCCGACAACGGCAACGTCGAAAGTGCTGGTTCTGTCTTCCTCCCTCGACAGAACTCCCCAAGCCTCGCGCTCCCCCAGGTTACAGAGTAAGGCTTCAACACTGCTCCAGCACTGGCCTGCGTCGTCCCAGTCACATCCTTCTGACCTACTAACGAAAACTCGAGCCCCCCCCCCTGTTACACCCCCCATTCAAGTTTCTCAACCATCAAGTTCAACCCATCTGCTCCCCGTTAATCGTGTGTGATCATATGTCATCCTATTAGCCTCCCAAATCATCAAAAGTTAAGATCAAAAATTATCTGACAGGCTTCAAGAAACTGTGTATAAGAACTCGGAAAATTTTTTAGGCTTGAACCGATCACGACTTTTAAAGATAGAGAAAAAAATTGAATGTAATTCTGATAGAATCAACTAAGAATCTTAATGTCAAGAAATTTAAAATCGGAATGTAAAGTTTAGGAATTAAGCACCGGATTGTAGTGTTGGGAAATCCCTAGTCAAGCTATCGAAAGTATAATTAAGTTGTCCGAACGGACTTTCGACCCTCTAAATTGAATTTATCATTCAGAAAATCACCCAAGTAATTGCAATTGAGGTAAGCCTAATGACCAGTACTGTAGATCGTATTTAAGAATCATACTATAAGAAGGAGCTTTAAAAAACTCACAATTATTACTTCGTCAGATTGAAAGTAGTATTAACGCACAAGCGATTTAGTGCTCAAGAATAAAAATAGTACGGGATTTATGGATAGGTATTTAGCCACCCGGTAGATCACCTTACAACTGACTACAGAACAACCTCGACTCCTTACCCTGCTTACTCTCCGTCCCATCCGCCGCATGCCTGGCCGAATATGCTAACCCAAACTTGTCCACCCAGATCACCATATCGTTCATCCCTCCCTGACTCTCCCATATCCACCAAAACTCAGCGATTATAGCCAAAGCAGCCATATCGACAGCGAACACGAGCGCCAATATCCATTTAAGTC